GACAGAACGAACGCACACAACAGCTGCAGTGAGCGCTACAGAAAGGGAACTATGTCGGAGTGTGATTGTCGTGTCTTGGTAGAGCAACACTTGTGAGACGGACGTAGAATGTCTGGAAGTGCTCAAGGCTAAAGCAAGGAATTCTGCCTCCGGTACTGGTGAAGCGCAGTGTGATAGTGTACGCAAATAACGTGCATAGATTGGTCTATAGTACTCGCGAGCGCACATGTCATTTCTCTCTTTAGGTGATGATGTGATTGAGACGGAGTGTTACTGTCTATTATGTGCTTGTTAAGGCCATTTTAGCGCATCTTGTATTGTTGTGTCCAGACTTACGCTAAACACTTAAGCTCATGGGCGTTAGTCGTCACAATGCAGATGTGCCACTGCCGGTCTCAACAAAGTTGGGTCTCAACACGGCGCATCCACGTAAAACTGTGCCATAGCTTTCAAACTGTAACAAACGTTGTACAAGTTCTCACTTAGGCACGATGTTTTTGAAGACAAGTTGCACCTTCGTTTTACACTAATATATTTGACGCAGCAAGCAGCCATGTTCTTGTTCTTATATTTTTTATTCGCTTTCGCTTTTTCTCTCCCTCTCTCTGTTCCTCAATCCTTCCGCCTTCGTAGTTCTCGTTCTCTCTCGGTGTGTGTGTGTGTGTTGTGTGTGTGTGTGTGCTTCTTTCCCTCACTGTCTATGCGTTTCTATCTTGTTATCTATTTATGTCGTTACTCTCTATAATTTGCGGTTTATAATTTCCTCTTACTTTCTGTTTTCCTTTCTTCTGTTGTCTCTAAGTTTTGGGAGTTTCCGCGTCAAGTTGCGTATCCTCGCTCCTTGTTCGTTGTTGGTGGCGTGCAAGCTAGTTCTTATTGCTTCCACTAGCGGCGCCGCGGCCCTCTCACAGCTTCACTCGCAGCTAGGGTGCCTTGAAGCTCACGTGCCTTCGCTTCCATGGGTAGCGACACCTTTCAGGGGTGAAGCTTCTCTTAGTTTAACCTTTTTCTGCGTGTGGCCTAAGCAAGAGAAGAAGAGGCAAGGTAGCGAGTAGAAAAGACGAGAAAAAAATGAAGACAGTACTTCTCAAACAGATGAATAAACGGCGCTGTCTCATAGAAGTACATACGAGCTTCAGTTGAGTGAAAATATTCTAGATGGCGCTGTACCGCTACTCTCCGACTGGCTGTTGCGCGGGTAGTGCCTGGGTGTGCGAGCAATGAGTGGCTCTTTGAGTCTCACGGATAGTCACCGTGCATGGTGGATCGTTGGTGGGGCATGGAGGAAGGAGAGTGGCGTGCGCGTTAAAGACGCTTGCGCTCGGCTTTCTTGGTTCGCGTCTTGTCCGTGTTACCCAAATGCCACCTGCATTCTCTAACGCTATCGGACGCATGGACACATGCATCCGATCGCATGTGTTCATGTGTTTGTCCATGCATGAACGGACAAACACAAGAACGGATAGACAGACAAACGCACAGACGGACGGACGCACAGAGAGATAAACAGACAGATGCCTGGACGGACGGATGAATGGACCTAAAGGTAGACGCACAAATGGACGAACGGATGGACGCATGGGTGTACGCACGGATTACAAGGACGGACGGACGAACAGAAGCATGGATAGACGTATGGACGCTTCACACCAATCATAATCATTCACCCTGTCCTTATGGTGTGATTTTTTAAAGATTCTGCGCCACCTGGCGGCAGTATTGGTTCAAAAGTGTCGGGCGGCGCGCAGAGGTTAGCGTGAAAAGGTGCTGCAATCATGTCGCTTTTGGCCCAATTGGATTCATTCTTTGGCCGCTATGACAAGTTACTGCGTACCACTGTGTCACACGTTTAAGGCTAGTAGATATTTTTCTTCCCTCGATAATGCCAGGTAAAAATAAAGAAAGCACAAACGAAACGCGACTGCTGGTATCTGACCAACGAAACCAATATATGTGAGGTTAGTTGTTGATTTGTGCAGCATCTGTACTTTTAATTTGGTGGCACTAAACATGCTGTTAAAGAATTCCTGGCTTCGCTGGCTATAGCTGCATGAGTAACCATCACGTGAAGCAGCTTTAGCAGAGTGGACGTTAAGCTTTGCGTAAAGCTGCACGGAGCAGATGATTTGGCTACCTTGCCGATAACCTTGCTTAACATTGCTCAGGACACGTTAGTCGCAGCTCATGCTAAATAAGCATAGTCAAGGACAATTAATAGTATCTATACAAATCAACATTATTTGACACTTCTTCATACTAATTGAGCCACCAGATTTCACCAGAGTAAGAAGGCTTGTTAGGCTAGCATTTGTTGCCTAATTAACTTTAGATAAATTAATTTACCGGAAGGGAATACCAATCTATATTGATAGATACCTATCAAATGAGACTAGGCAAGATCAGTGCAAATAATGTGCGATCACGCTGAAGCAGTCCAAGATGAAGTGACATTGCCATTAGGTAGATTAGACCCGACCAAGCTATGTTCTTTCGGATTAAGCATGACTAAATAAATCTGATTTAAGCTGATTGTAAATTGAGAATGACTAGCCATTTGGGTGACTGCATATGATCGCACTAAGCCTGTCCGATGAAATGCGATTAAACTGGACAACCGAAATCAGAATCTTGAGCCATTAAATTTTGAAGAAAATGAAATTCCCTAGACAGTTGAATGACAGATCACGGTTACAATATTATAAGGTATATTAAGCAAAACTGAGCTCATCCTCACAAGAATAGTCACGAGCAAGTGAATTGGACTCAGTTGAGATTGTATAGACCGTGCCCGCCAGTATATACACTTCTGCAGTCACCGCTCAAGTTCGCCTCTCCGGTGATTCCAGCCCCACCGCGGTGGTCTAGTGGCTAAGATACTCGGCTACTGACCCGCAGGTCGCGGGTTCGCATCCCGGCTGCGGCGGCTGCATTTCAGATGGAGGCGGAAATGTTGTAGGGCCGTGTGCTCAGATTTGGGTGCACGTTAAAGAACCCCAGGTGGTCGAAATTTTCGGAGCCCTCCACTACGGCGTCTCTCATAATCATATGGTGGTTTTGGGACGTTAAACCCCACATATCAATCAATCAATAACCGGTGATTCCACCAATCCTAACTATAGATGGCGCAATGCCACACTAGTCATCGGTTTCTGATGTCTCGCGTGCTCGCCTCCTCGATGGGACTTCGAAAACAAGGAAATGAGAAAAAAAAGTGTGGCGTCGTAACTGTGTCTTCCTTAAGATGTCACCTCAATAAGGCAACATAAAAAATAGAGCAGGGGAGAGACAAGAATGTGAAAGAGAGAAGAAAATAGGGGTGCGTCATTGGTGTTTGGGCTGGCGGCGCGCGCATGCGCGTTACCTGCGCGTCAGAGGAAGAGAAAAAATTGGCCCTAGTATCTGCATGTTAATCTGCAGATGTCGTTGAAAGAGAATAGTCTTGCTTGTTGAAAGAGTGAACAAAACATTTATTTGATGTTTTGCGCAAGAAATCGGTGAAAGATAATCTGGAGGCTCTGCGTTAGATTGCCTGGAGCGTGCAGCGGAGGTGAACGAGCGCAATAAGAAATGTCACACGTGAGACATGAGCACTATCTGGCATTTTTCTTCGAAAACGAAGCGCGTGGCTCTGAGACAGGCATGCGCGCCAGTCTTCGAGGTGATCAGATGTAGAACGTAAGGTGATAGCTAGGTGCCACCACCGTGTCGTCTTAGCAAAGCGTTGGAAACACTCGCCTTTTCTTGCAAGCGTCGCATGGTGAGCGCAGCGTGATGAAAACTATGGTCTTCAGAATTACTTATGTATACCTTTTCTAGTCAGAGACGCACATACAGAATATATATACTTGTTGTTATGGTGGCTCAGATATGTGCGATGCTTGCTTTTCAATTGACAATCACCCAAGTATTAACGCTGGATCTTGAGCAACATTAGTGGGCGCTGCAGATGGGGTCGGCCATTTGGGGTATCAGCTGGTACCGCTCAGAGTACCCGGTACCGGTAAGAGTGGACGAACAGACAAGTAGAGAGACGGACGAAAACTTTTGCGTCGAAGGTCTCTTTCTTCGTCTTTAACAAAATTGTCAAGCAGGCCGGCATAGTAAGAAAGATTCTTACGGCTATGCCCACATAGTTTTTATCACTTTGTAGCCACGACTGCGCGTCACAGGTTCCTACAATGGGTGTTACGCACAGGTACCAATATCTTCTCATACCCTCTCACCTGCCTGCTCTCAACCTCGTTGAATAATGCCCGATATCTCCACGTCTGCCATTTATGAACGTTAGGAATATGACTCACGGCAGCAGTCAGTATGGCTAAAAAGGCAGGTAGCTAACGTGCTGATGACTGTGCAGCGTTGGCCGCAGAATGTGCCCAACAACGCTCCTTTTGACGTACACATGATGCGCTGGTTCGTTAACACGCCTTCCTATAGAATTGGTCTCGCCAAGAAACGCCCCGTGCACCTCAGAGCAAGCTCCTTTATCATCATTCACTTTGTGGTTAGAGCGGTGATTTTTTCAAGACGAAGCACAAGCGATCAGCAGTTGAAACAGCTTGGTTGGTAATAATGCGGCATTAGTAGTAGGTGGAGAAAGTAGCACTTCTACTGTATTGTAGGTCTAAAGCAATTACATTAAACTCTTTTTGAACTGCTTTTCTGGCCAGAACCTCAGAAAAAAACTTTATTTTTCATGGTTCAATTAGTAAGCCGCTTGTTTGGCGAGTCGGGGACTATGAAAATTTGACAAAATCTCTGAAAGAGGTAGAACGCACTTTGTGTTTGTAGATGCTTTGTTGCGGTATTTCTTATTTATAGAGCACGCAGTAAAATGTTCAGTGTGATGATTGCTGCAGATATGATGCGCCGATCTTCAATATAGAGTGCACTTAAAATTAGATACGCCACTTACAGGAGAACTACAGGGAGCTAGACAATGTCTTCAACGAGAACAGTATGATATATCAAACCTAGTACACGACTCCCACAAAGGAAAATATATTCACTCTAGTTTAATGCATCATTGTTGGAAAACTTCAAACAGGTTAGTGATGCGTTTGCTTAGATAATTGAGTTTGCAGTGTAATTTGCATGAAAAATACCGCTATAAATTGAGCATGCCGAGCAAGGCAATTAGGAACAAAACTGGTTTTTGAAAATTTCACGAATCATTCTTGGCACTACAGTCTTTTTTTTTTTCTGAGTGCACTTTAAAGAGAGCAATTCCTCAATGTTTCGCCTCCTCCACAACTTCAAGCTTCTTAGAAACATGCGTTGTCGAAATATTTTATGTGGATCCATATCATGGGATGAAGAAAACGTCTTTTGGTGTCTTTCCTTGACGACCTGTTTGCATGGGAATAGAAAACAAAACATGTCACCCTTGGAAGCACATAGACAACCTCAAACAAACTTTGCTTAGCTGGTGGCATCGGTAGAAAACAGGGCAACTGGTTAAAACTCAATTTCATTTTATGAAAACTACAAATCGAAAACAACATATTAATGAAGAAAAGTATAAGTGTAATGATAGAACATTAACAAATTTAGTAGTTAAACTGGTCTGGAGTAAAGAAATTACTATTTGTTAGAAATATTTACTTACACTATACGATGTCGCCTACAATCTTAGAAAAAAGGTGGTAGTACTTGCTAACTTTGGGGTAGTAATGGTTTGTCACATATGTTACAACCCTGGTAGTAAGTGCGGTTAGTAACGGCAAGGGTGGTAATAGTTAGTACCTCTGCTGTTACTACCAGGAGTTAGTAACTGTTACTGCCCTAGCTGTTACCACCTATGGGTAGTAACTTTGAAGGTTTCAAGAAAAAAAGTGGTAACTGATACTACCCAGTTCATTCCTTTTGGCATAATATTTCTCCACTGCTAATGTTGGCTAATCAATGTCTTATAACTACATGAATGCGAAGAATACATAGACCAAACAAGCACATTATTTTTTACGGATACTTGTAGAAAGAAGTAAGCATGGGGGGGGGGGTATATATAGCCCCTACTTCGCAGGGGCATATCTGGCACAGGGGAGCACTTCCGTTTCTGGATCAATTTAAAAAAATACAAATCGTTAGCACTATAATATACTACCTGGTTACGTTTGTTTGGTAACGTAGCACAAGACTTTTTGTGAGCCTCACTTAGAGCATATTATATGTCATATTTATTTATTATAAAATGGCCACAAAAAAGCATTATGTACAGTGGCCCGAGAAAGTACTGAATTATTTCTCAGTCCATTTGAATGCTTTACATGACTAATATATCAGCGTTTAAAAGGTAATAATCGTTTCGGGGGTTTGACGCGCCATAGCAATGATAATATTTGAAGACGCGCTGCAGTAGATTAACTGTGACTGTCCTTGAGCTATATGTGAGTGTCTGGTTATTTTCACCAGCCGGTCTTGTTATTATGTGCTGTATTTACTAAGTTTGTCGTAATTGTCTATTACGACGCGTGTAGCACCTGCTTATAGTTCGTTAACTTGTACTTTTCTGTTTCGACAATATCAGAATGACGTTTACGTATCTCGGTTGCATAATTTGAAACAAAATATATTTTTTATCTACAAATACCTTCTGCGTCATTTTTCAGTTCAATGATAATACGTCGAGACAATTACTTTCATAAATTATCAAAATAGCATTCCAACACTATTTGGAATTATATAGTCAAAAGCCAGGTAGCAAAGAGGTAGTAAAGGGGCATGAAAGGTTATAACGGCTGCAGTTACTACCTCAGTTACTAACTGTTTACTAACGTAGGTAGTAAAGAGGTCGCAAAAAGTTAGTAATGGTTGTAGCAAGTAACTATTTACTAACGTAGGTAGTAAAGAGGTAGCAAACGGGTAGTAACGGTCGAAGAAAAGTAGCAACTGCTGCAGTTACTACCTACTTGCTTGCAGTTGCTACCTTTTTACTAACTTTTTTTAAGAGTGTAGCTTTTCCTTAGTACACACAGATATGTGTAATATTGTAACATCGTGTTTGATATTACGTGAAATCATTTGTCTCACTGGGAACCCACCTTGTGTGTGGAACATGTGTACATATGAACCTACTAGGCGTATCTGATCTGTCATGTGATGTGTACTGACTTTGTGTGTGAAAATTGTGTAGGTATATACCTATTAGGCGTATCTGAACTGTCATTCAATGCGCACTGACTGTGAGTGAAAGCTGTGTACATATGAGCCTATTAGGCGTATCTAAACTGTTAAGTGATGCGTACTGACTTTTTGTGTGAAAATTGTGGACATAACTTATTAGCCGCATCTGGAGCATCATGTGGTGTAACGTTGTTGCGTAGTTTTCACATCGTATGCTCTACTGTCTTGTATTATGTGCCCTTATTGTGTTCTATGGCATACTTTGTCTGCTAAGTGAGAAAGAGTAGTCACTGCCATCATAATCGAAGCCTCTCCTATTTCTTCTTTAAAAAAGAATACACTGAGCTGTAAAAAAAAAACACGAAGTAAAACGTAAATTTGGTCTTTGAAGCTTCGCAAAGGAAGTATAGTTGTGAAGCCGCTGTTTGACTAGCCTATGTGACGCTGTATATACGTGTTTTCGTGTCAACGTGGCAGTTGTTGGAACGATGCCAAGTAGGTCAAGTCGAAGCTGCGCGTTTACGTCACCCTTTCCCTCATCCACAGCAGCAGCCGCCTCCTCCCAAAACACCTTGCTGGTGTTGCTCCTCCGCCTGCCCGCAAGACAATTCTCTGTCTCTTTATCTCACCTTCTCACGACCTGCAACACTTAGCCGCACGTCTAGTGGAAATACCAGAATCATTTAGTTGCACTTTCGCACCTGCCGTATGGAGGCGGCCTGCCATTCCAAATGACTAGCAGGCCGATTCCGTACGTCTGCTGCGGATGCGTGGATAAATCAATCTAGATTTTTAGCTCGTTTATCTGCAACGAAACTGGCACGAAACACAGCTAGCCACCTGTGTCTATGCGTATCAAACAAACGTTTACTCGAGTAAATGCTACAGTCACTCAAAACCGTTCTTCCACCATACGCGTCGACGTTCTTTTCAACCTAGTCAACGCCATGCGCACCACTGCTGCTTCGCATCCCATTACGGTTCTCTTTTTGTAATTGAATTGATTTCGTTCAAGCGCACAAAGTTACACGTAGGAAAGAAAGGGCTAAAAGCATTGGCCTTTGACGCTTTCTTTACACTGTGCTTTCTTCAGTTTTTCTGTAAACACCGAAAAAATTACAACGCTGCATGCTCGACAGAGAAAAAAGGTCAGTCATTTTGCCATTAGCGCTAGGTAACGTAACGAAACCTACTTGGCCAGGCACTAAAGTTAATACCACAAGGTGCAGAGGCAATCTTCGTTTTTCATCCGTAACTTGCACATAAAGATACCCCAACACACCTTACGTGGCGACAAACGTTCATTCAGTGTTCTCGATCAATTAACACCGTTCTTTATGCTTGGCTCTGCGTACGTGAAGCACCTTGTGCATATATTATCAATTTAATATAATATAAAAGCATATTTTTATTCTGAATGCCAGGCATAAAGTGAGTAATAAGCATGAAACAATTCTAATAATATTCAGATGTACTATTTATGACGCTCTGTAACCACGTAAGCACAAATGTACACGCTACAAAAAAGCAGTGCTGCTAAGGTGGGAGCGAGCTTGTGCGGTGAGCAGATGCCACTTCTTTTATTGGGCTGGGAAAGAGATTTCTGTGAAATTATTTGTGTGTAATAACATAGACTGCCTTGAAATTGTTTCTTATGAAAAAAAGACATTTCGGTAGTAAACACCTACATGCCGCCTGCCTATTGAAGAACATTATGTAAAAATAGTTATGTTGTTTTTTCTTAAGCAGTTCAAAAGTTCTGACCTTATTACAAACCTTTCCTAGACGATCCGAAACTGAAACTTTCAGATACCTAAAGAACTTCCATATCAGCATATTTGTTCTCTATAGGCATAATACGCGGCACTAATTTGTCTCGTTATGCTTTAACATTTGACTGACATGATGCTTTAAATATATTTTAAAATTTTCACTACCCTCGAGTATGTTTAAAAATTTCAGAGCTCTGATGTGTGTGATATAATTGAAAATTTCTACTACACTGCGGCAAGTGGCTCTTCGTCGTTTAGGTTACGTGTGCTTTCACTCAACTCTTGTAGTTCTTTCGCACATCATTTAGAGCTACTGGACTTTGTTCTGTCTTTACAAAAACTTATATTACTTCAAAAAATATGGCGAAGTATAGTACGAAAAAGAAATGTCGACACAACTTAGCGAACCAAATAACAAGTGTGTATGTGCAGCATGTAGATGAGAGTCTGGACGCAAAACGAGCTAGAAATAAAAGTGTGCTTCAGCTCACTCAGAAGTAAGCTATATGTTGCTTTGAAAAAGTTCAACACTGTGGCCTCTTAAGCTTCAGGCGCATTGAGTGCTTTTTATTACAAGGTCACTAGATTCAAATCTTTTAGGCCATTTTTGTCAAAAAGGTTTTTTTATTCTGCATTTACATAAACAGAAAAAAGTTTGCTAAACTAAATTTTTCGCTTAGTAATGGGCCAACAATTTTATATATTGAACTGTGCATTCGAGCAGAGTTATTTAAAACAAGTGGTAGCTTGTTTTATATAAGTCTGCTTTTAAATAACTAAATAATAATGGAAAGTGGGGCGAAGCTTCTGTCTTTCCATTAGTTCTTGCCTCCATCCGTCCATACCCCGATGTGTGTGACCGTCCGTGCGTACATCCGCCCGTCCATCCGTGCGTCTCTTCGTGCGTCTGCACGTTCAACCATGCGCCCGTCCATGCGTTCGTTAATGCATTTGCCCCAGCGTCCATCCATGCATTCATTCGTCCGTGCAGCCATTCGTGCGTCCGTCCATGCACCTGTCTGTGTGTTCGTTCGTCCATCTAGTCAACACTCCAAGTACCACAATCTCGCATCTTTTGATCATATATTCGCCATATAGAAGTACCGCCTTCCAGCGGACATTCCAAGGACTAAACGAGGGGCGGCACACGCATACTTTCTTACAGCTTGCGTTTGTGTCTATTTCCCACCTCTAACCACCTCGAGTTCATGGTATGTACTGGTTCACTGTATTCATGGCACTGCGGCCCAATGCTCGCTAAACCTTTCTGAAACCAAGGAGGTTACGCCCAACGAGTTAACGTAGCAATCCTTTCTTGTCAGATAGTGCTCAATGTACATGCCAATGGCTGCTATTGGGGAATGAGAAACAGGAGAATTCCACTTTTAGTTAACGCACACGCTGCGAATTTTTCATTGTTCAACAACGCACAAGAGAAATATTCCACCGGCA